ATCATTGGGTGGTGGCTCACCTGAATGAGAACCACTTGTTACAGGCTAGAAGTTTAGTACATAAATGTCTTGCTCTGGCTAATTATAGAAAGCTAGGTATTTGCATTTTTTGTCAAAATATAGTGTGGCTTCTTGATTCTTGAGGGTATATATTAAGGAATTGTTGGAATTGCATAGCGAAATAATGTAATTTATATCTGCACAGAAATAGAACAAAAGCAAATAGCAATAAAGAAAGAAAAAAGAGAGAACATCAGATTTACGTGGTTAGGCCAAATTGCCTACGTCCACGGGCAGCAACCGGAGCTTCCTTCTTACTATAAACAGGAGAAAATACAAAATGACCTCACCGGAATCACACCTGTACCCGACACTCAATACTCCTCTCAACACACTGTATACACTATACACTGAAATGAAATGGAGACTGGAAAATGAGAAATAACATAGGAGGGACCCCTATTTATACTTTAGCTAAGGGGTATAATGAGCATTTATGAAAATTTTCTTCATGGCTAAGTGAACTATGAACGGTGATTTGCAAATGGTGTGCCATCGATTAATTGGTGTGCCACCGAATAAATGGTGGATTCAGCTTGGTGGGCCACTGATTGCAAATTCAGTGAGCCACCGACTGGCCCACCTTTTTGCTTTTCAACAGGAATAAAGTAAAATAGAAAAAAAAAACCAAGGGAAGAAGAGTTCCATCTTCATCTTTTTACCATATGGCATAAACAAATGACAAATCCATGTTCAGGCACAAAAGGGAGAAACTTACCGTTTATAAAACGAAATAAGATCACTTGAAGAAGCACAAGGGTGACGAGGTGACAGCGAAGAGAAACCATTGTTGTCAGCGATGATTCAACAGGGGTGGTGATCTAAAGATATCAGGGAGAATGATGGTTAGTACTTTTCCGTAAGTTAACGTCTTTCCTAAAATGAATTTCTTTTAGGGTTTCTAGCATAGAAGGGCAACTTTTGGGGTTTAATATTAATAAAAGTAATATATTTAAAAATAGATTAACTTTTTAAAAATAAAATCAATAAAGGGCAAAAACATTGTTCATCTTCTTCTTCTTGCCATTTGTTTACCAGAGCCGCCGTTCGCCATCACCCGCCACTGCCGTCCGCTGCTACCTCTGGCCACCTCTGCCTCCGACAACGTTGCCGGAGGTGGCCGAAGGCAGAGGTGGGCGGAGGTGGTGGCGTTGGACAAAGAAACCACTAGCACCACCGCCGCCACGGCGGTGGTAGGCGGTGGTGGCAGATGGCAGCTCTGGTGAACAAATGGCAAGAAGAAGAAGATTAACAATGTTTTTGCCCTTTATTGACATTATTTTTAAAAAGTTAATCTATTTTTAATTTTTTTTAAATATACTACTTTTATTGATATTAAACCCCCAAAATTGCCTTTCTATGCTATTACCCCTTTCTTTTATCAAATGTGATTTTAATTGTTGTTTTTGAAACCGGTTACTTGCAATAACCCCTATTCACCGAAACAGAAACTCGAAAGTGATCGGTCCATCTCATCCGACATATCATAGATTTTCCCGTCAAACATATAGAACGTCATACTTGAGGGCAATTTTTTTTGTCTTGTATTTGTTAAGGTTAATAGTATAATCTATTAGGGGTGCAAATGGATCCGATCCCGATCCGAGATCTGATCCTATTTGGTCGAATTCACATCACCCTTGTTTGGATCTTTGGATCGGATCAAATAATAGAATCCGATCAGAAATTGTATTGGATTCGGATCACCCCTTATCCAATCCGATATGTTATATATTTATAAATATAAATATATAATATATATTATTTATTTATTTATAAATATATTTTTATGTTATATTTTATAAATGTGTTATATTATTCATTTTTTATAAAAAAAACATGTATATATGATAAAAATAATTAAAAATACATGTATTTTTTGTTTTAAATTTATTTAAGTTAATATATTTTATTTTTCTTTTAATAATTTATTAATTTTTAAAGAAAACAAGTCGGATCGGATCAGATCCGAAGATCCAATTTACCAATAGGATTCAAATTCAAATCAAATCCTATCAGATCCGATCGGATCCGATCCAACATGAACAGTATTAGATCGGATTTGAATATACCCTGATTCAGATACATCAGATCAGTTTGCATCTCTAATAACCTTTTAGTATTCATGTTTAAAATTTATGCTGTTACGTTCTTGTTTCACATTAATACAGTTTGGTGGTTCATTTTAAAATTTTGAAAAATAGTGAAGACAAAAGAGTCTTTTTATTTGTTCCATTAAAGACACGGGAGATTTAAGTCCTGTAAAAAATTAGAGGGGAAGTCTTAAGTATTTATGAGAAACCTTAGTCGAGGTTTGAGTCTTTTGCCCAAACAAAATGTTTTTACTGGCGTTTTTTTTTTCTAGCCAAAATCTGAGTACATGACTTGGCCAAAAGAAAATAAAAAAGAAAATATCTTAGTTTTTATCTACTAGTAAGCCATTAATGATACCATTGGGTGGTCCAGCAGAATAAATTTCAAAAAATGTTTTCCTTCTCAAGTTCTTGGTATCCTAACTAGGATTACAAAGTTTGTAGTCCGTCCCTTTGTTATATTTATTGTGATCTTGCTTTACTATTTTTCTTAATCTAAACAGACACCTCAAGGAGTGTGTATATGTAGTGTGCAAAGCCTTTCCAGGAATTAAGATTGTAACATCTGAGATTGAAACCGGTCTGGATGAAGATTTCCATGTCAATTCTGGCATGGACGAGTTTGGAGACCGGTATTTTGGCACAGATGATGATGAGAAATAAACAATGGCCCCATTGTAGCTAGTGAAATCTTCTACTTAAAAGTGATTTTGATTCTGAGTGAACCTACATTTATCGTCTATGTGCTCTCTCTGTCAAATTGGCTGTTTTATTATGAAATCCCTCCAGTACCTTGTATATATATATATATATATATATATATATATAGGCATCCTATTAATTCGAGAAATATGATTTAAAAAGTGGGTAGTTTCACTCATAAATATTCTCAATAGATATTTATTTATTTATTAGTTTAATACATTTATTTAAAAAGTGGGACAGGGAGTGCTCTCCCTGTCCCCGCCAACGAGGATGAAAATTTCCCCCATCCATCCCTGCAGGGGGAAAATCATCTCCATTCCTACCCCATTCAAAGCAAAATCCCCACGGGGATCGGGGAAATAGGGAAAATTGCCATCCCTAAGTTTGATAAACAACCCTATCTAAAATTAATTATTATTAGTTATGTATTATAAAAAATTATTAAAAGTAGTATATAAAATATAAATGATTATTAATTATTATATAATACAATTGTATACTTTTACATGTTTCTATTATTTATCTTTAACTTAACAAATTCCGTGCATTGCACGGGTCCTTGCCAGTTCGGTCTTGCAATAAAGATGTAAAAAAATTAGCACACTTCAGCTAGTAGTTCTTATAAGGAATATTATAAAGGGAGAAAAGAAAAAAAAAATTGTCCCATACTCCCCATCTCTATTCATCTCCAAAAAGAAATTTAGGGTCCATTTGGTTCACGAGTAGGATTGGGATCGAATTCGGAATTGGAATTTCCAAGAATTAATCAGGATTGGAATCACTTGTTTTTTATGTTGCTTGGTTTATTTGGGAATCAGAATCAGATTTTGGTTGTTGTTGTTTGGTTCATTTGGAGTTAGAAAGAAAATTGGCCGAAACTTTTTAATTTTGTATTAGTCTATTTATTATTTTATTATTACCTTATTAATATTTTATGAATATATAATAATTATTTTATTAGTACTTTGTATTTTTTATAATTATTTTTTGTTATTTTATTAATATTTTCTGTTTTTGTTTTATTATTTTAAAATTAATTTCTTATTATTTAAATAATATTACTTTATAATTATATTATTGTATTTATATTTTACTAATATTGATTATTTAATTATTGGTATTTTTTTTATTATTTCATAAGCTGTTTATTAATATTTTCTTTATCTTTATTATTGTTAATATTATTATATTTAGTAATTACTATTTCTTTTGCTATTATGAATTTATTAATATTTTATTATTATACTATTATTAATTTATTAATATTAATATTTAATAATATTTTATATGCTATTAATATTAGGATTTGGGGTTTTTTTGTCATGGGTTCTTTACTTCTTGATAGACTTTGGATGAGAATCCCATTCCATAAGGGAGAGTCGGGAATGGCCATTTCCTCACACGGGAAATCTTATTCCACCCAAAGTTCAAAATATCGATATGCCCGATACGTTGGTAGAGGCATATAGGGCAGTATTAGTAGCTTTTTTTTTTTTCTCTTTTTTAGTTTTTTTTTTTTTTCCAAATCTGATTCAAAGGAACTGGTTTAAAGTCCATCCACCCCCCTGAATCGATCGAAATCCCAAAACACCCCCTAGAAGAATATATTGAGAAGCCCCCAATATGATATGACATGAACAGATACGGCCCGATATGTATGGAAATTTTGAACCTTAATTCCACGAAGAATGATTCTATCCAAACAAACGGTTGGGTTGAGAATGAGCTATTTCAATTTTGATTCAAGGCACCTATCCAGGGAACCAAATGTACCCTTATATTAGCTGACAAGAATATTAAATCTCATAGGCCCTTGGTTATTATAAAAATAATAAAAAAATTGACTGCTGACAAGATCAAGAAAGGGATGTGAGAGACGAGGAGAGCTAGAAAATCCCAGAAACTGACTTTTCGAGAGAGTGTGTATGTGAGATTTTTGGTTCTAAAAATTGAGATTCATGCCATGTGGCAGTGGGAGTTATCACTCGTTGCTTTATCCAAGGATGATAACCCTCCTTGGGCTAACCTGTGGACAGGTGTCATTGCATGGGCAAGCTTAGATTCTTTTGGCATATCCCTCCAAAGCCGATCTATATAGAAAGGTGGTTGTGGGAGTTGGTTTTCTCACTTCGATCTTTGCCCTTTTTCCTCTCTCTCATTCTAAACCTGAAGCTCAAACCATGTCGGCCTTCGTAGGAAAGTATGCAGGTACATGAATACCCTCCTCTTTCCTTTAATCTCAGTTTGGAAGGAGTACAAATATAAATATGTAGAGCACAAAACCACATATTTGTATTTATACTCCTTTCAAACTGGGCCTTAATCATAAATGTACTTATAATAGGTAAATAATTGTAGCCTTGATTCTTAATTAAGCTCTAGCAATAAGACTGCCTTCTGTGGGGGGAGACGTTTTCTATCTCTTTGCTTATTAATTTGGATAGGTGCATAGTTTCATCGACTGACATTTCAACATTGCTTTCTTTTTAGTTTAAAGCTTTATTAATTAAGGGTACTGATTAACAAAAAAAATATTAGTTTTGTTAGCAGTGAGATTGTGATACGTTTTACTGGGCGCGGGTCAAGTTCTTCAACCATTTTTGCTTTCTTCTTATATCATTATCCCAATCTCAATCTCATGTGGTTGACCAATGTTTTGAAAACTGGATCAGTCATAAGGGTCTAGTTCAGGATTTTTCAGGTTAACTATTGGGGTTTGATATTTCCTTTGTTCAACCAGCTGGTTTGTTCTGGTTTTCAAAGCATCATAGAGTTCCTGTTCCTCCATCAAGTAGTATTTAAATTCTTGGTCGCTGGAGTTTTAGCTTGAGGTAGTTTAGAAAATAGCATGGTTTTTAAAATTGACTCGGAGATTGAACCGATTAGGGGTCCGGCTATTTGGTCGAACGGTTTGACCGTTCGAATCAAACGATCGGTCTGTTTTGACAAAAAAATAAAAAAATTATAAAAAATTCAAAATAAAAATAGTCAAAATCGTTCAAACAATTAACCACCCGGATCAATGGTTTGCTGACCAAAATCAATGGTTTTTTGGAAAAAATCTGATTTTGGGAAAAAACGGAATCGGTCACCTGATTGGTTCCCAGTTTTTTTGGTCTGACCGTCCGATCTGGTCTGGTTTTGAAAACCATGAAAGATAGTCACATGTCTAGTATAAAAAGTTAAGTGGGAACATCATCCCTACATTGAGGATAGATAAGTGTGCTATAGGCCCTGTTCCATTTTTTGGTAGGGAATTGGGGAAAGTTGTTCTCATTGACTAACAATCTCGCATTTGTTTGTTAGCATTCTCTATGGCGGCGGTCTTAAAGACTGCTGACTCTAAACCGTCGGCTTAGACCGATTTTTTTATAGTATAATGATGGGTCTCATGGATAAATGCGTTTTCTATAGTTTTTTAATTGAACAAATCAACTTTCCCGAGTGAAGATTAATAATTGTAATTTTTTTTGATAAAATATGTCCCTATAAAATGAATTTACTTGCATAAAATTCATGAAAATGAATGTAAGTAAGCACACTTACCTTGATACCTATAATTAGCAAGTGATTTACCAAAAATCATGGTTTAAAGTATTTAGGATTTGAGGGGTATAGGGTGTTTCGGTACTTCATAATTTTTTCTTTAGTTTTTTTTTGGGTTTCTGGTATATAAGGGCAACTTTTTGTCTTAAATATTAATAAAAGATAATATTTTTATAAAATAACAAAAATAAAATAATTTTTTATAAAAAATATCAAGGAAGGATTGGCATGCCTACCGCTGAAAGTAGCCAAATTTCGAAATACCCTTATTTAATGTTTCGGGAATTACTAATACGGCTCGTGAAAAGATCGACTCAATAATCAAGCTCAGGCTTAATAGAACTCGGCTCGGCTAATTTATTAATCGAATAACTATAAATATGTTAAGAGGTAATACATATTTAGAAATTAGAAATACAAAATACAAAGGCTTTACACTGCAAGTACATATTAGCTGTTATTAATTTGTTTAATCGATCTCTTGTATGTGGTTGGCTTCCCAGATGAGCTGATCAAGAATGCCAAGTACATAGCCACCCCGGGCAAGGGCATTCTGGCTGCAGACGAGAGCACGGGCACCATCGGCAAGCGTCTGGCAAGCATCAACGTGGAGAACATCGAGTCCAACCGCCAAGCACTTCGTGAGCTCCTCTTCACCTCGCCCAACGCGCTTGCTTACCTCTCAGGCGTCATACACTTCGAGGAGACCCTCTACCAGAAAACCTCCGGCGGCAAGCCATTTGTTGAGGTCCTTCAGGAGAACAATGTCATCCCTGGCATCAAAGTTGACAAAGGCACCGTCGATATCGCCGGCACCAACGGTGAGACCACGACCCAAGGCTTCGATTCCCTCGGAGCACGTTGCCAGCAGTATTACAAGGCCGGAGCACGCTTTGCCAAGTGGCGTGCTGTCCTTAAGATCGGCCCCAATGAGCCGTCCGAGCTTGCCATCCAACAAAACGCACAGGGGTTGGCTCGCTACGCCATCATTTGCCAGGAGAATGGACTGGTGCCGATCGTCGAGCCGGAGGTACTGACCGATGGGAGTCATGACATTAAGAAATGTGCTGCTGTTACTGAAACAGTTCTAGCCGCGGTATACAAGGCTTTGAATGATCACCATGTGCTTCTGGAGGGAACGCTTTTGAAGCCCAATATGGTCACCCCTGGCTCTGATAGCGCAAAGGTGATCTTCCTGTAAATCATCTATCATCTATATATATATATATATCCATGAATGCGCAGTACTGATCGACGTATGTACACTTAATTTTTATTTTTTGGTGGGGTACGTCTATATATAGGTAGCTCCCGAGGTGATTGCGGAATACACAGTTGGTGCATTGCGCCGGACCGTCCCACCTGCGGTGCCTGGAATTGTGTTCCTATCAGGAGGGCAGAGCGAGGAAGAGGCGACATTGAACCTTAATGCCATGAACAAGTTGGCTGTGCTGAAGCCATGGACACTGTCGTTCTCGTTTGGGCGAGCTCTTCAACAAAGCACACTCAAGACATGGGCTGGGAAGAAGGAGAATGTCACGGCTGCTCAGGAGGCATTCTTGGCAAGGTGCAAGGCAAACTCCGATGCCACCCTTGGGAAATATGCGGGCGGGAGCGGTGGTGGGTTGGCTTCAGAGAGTTTGTATGTAAAAGGGTACAAATACTAACTAAGCGCGGCAAGGGAAAAGGGTCTGTCATAATCTGTGTATCATGTGAATTTGTAATTCTTCTTCTTCTTCTTTATCATGCTTATATATGTCAGGTAAATATTCCACATTCCAGTGATTTTAGTAATATTGTCTTTTCAATTCTTGCCTTTCACTTGGAAAGCTGGAGTCATCTATATTGACAAAGCATGAGAGAGAGGATGCTTTAATTCATGCTGAATGGTTATTGATGAGGGGCATTTTGGTCACCTCACACAATTACCGACATGTGGATGCAGATGACAATACAGCGTCCAAGTTAGCAAGACAGCTTGACAAGTTAACATGCGGCAACCAACATCAGGTGTGCGGCTGAGCTTGGCCCGCCGACGACACAAGCTCATCTAAATCGTTCCGCGCGCTGCACCCTTACGAGTACCATTACCGTGACCATAGGAACAGTTCACGGAACCGTACGCCACAAGACCTGTGGGCAACCTGTAACCACCGCGTGAACCTAGCAACTAATGTTCCATCATTCCTCAAACTGTGAAAACAGTTCCGTAGAAGACTAGCCTAATGGCACCTAAACCTTAGATAGCTATAAAAAGACACCAAAACCACCCCAAAAGGTATGCGCACTAAACCTCTTACACTCTCTCACATATCCTCACAGAAACTATCCAGACACTCTAACCATTCTATTTTCACAGCTCTTTTCAGCTCAGACATACAGATTCTAATTCGACAGCACAGCTCTTTCCAGCTCGGACATGCAAATCCTAGTTCGAGCCCAATCATTGGATACGAGGGTCTGATCATCAACAAAGGAAAAAGATAATATTTGACTGAAAGTAAAAGTCTTGAATGCATCGACTCATTGGTCCATCTGTCTCGGGGCTTGGTTGGATGGTAGAAAATCCTTCTGCTCTATTTGTTGTTCCCTAGGCTGGGAGATAACTTTCTAAAGGTCCATTTAATAAATGGGTGGGTCCAAATTTAGCGAAGTCCACTCAATTTGGCTAAACTTAGCGAAGTCCAAATTTGCACAACAAGACGCCAGTCTCTAGCTTGGCTAAACTGTCATTTTGGCAGTTGGTAGGCATCGAACTTTTCTCCTAATCCATTTGAAGGTAGGGCATCCGATATATGGAGTATAATGTCCAACTGGGATCATGCGGTTGATCTTAATTTGCAGGGATAAGGCTTTTGTTGAGTTGTGTTGAGCCCGGCCGGATTTCCCATCATTTGGTTCCACTCAAGCTTGGCCCATGCCTCTCATACTTTACAGACTGTCAGTGACAGGCACAGGCAGCCTATAAATGTGGGAAAACAACTATCGTCTATCGGCCGGTCTTGTTGGTGATTTAAAAAGGAGACGAAAGGAAAGCATTCAAGAGATCACAATTTGAAAGAAACAGTATTTTGGGTTTGTGTCAAGCAATCTTTTACATAGTTTTATTAGGAGAAGTCAGCCAGGCCTGAGGCTCTCTCTGCTTTTACTTTTCCATATTTTCACACAAGTTTGTGTTAATGGGTATATGATACTCTCTCTCTCTCTCATTTGTTATTAGTATATATTATTCTCTTTAGATTTGTCAGAAGACTACAAAAGCAAAAGCAAAAAGCAATAATAGAGCACCTGAGCAACTGAAGATCATTGTTTGTACTTTGTGCTTATATGCTTCTATGCTTCTATTGATTTAGTATTTGAGTCGGATGTAATTACAAAAATACGTACCCTCCTTGGTATCATTACAACAACCGAAAGCATTTACCAAAAGAAAGAAAGCAACAAAGAAAATCCAACCAATATGCTAACAGTGTCAGACGATCCAGACCAATCTTTTATCAGTAATCAATCAAAAAGCAAAACAAATTAATAAGGAATAGAAAATCTCTGAAACTTCACCTCTTTTTTGTTCTGCAACTTCGAGCAACTAGGACACCATTCGGTGGACCGGTCATCTCAACCTGGCATCTCCCATGCAACCAGTAAGAAAAATGGCTGAGGCCAATGCTAGCTCTCAGCCTAAACGTTCCTCTTATATTATACTGAATCCTGTTGTTTTCAACCTGTTTCCGAAGCTCCAACGCCAGATTTGGAGGCAAATAAACCTCGCTTGACACCATGTGAACCAACTCCAACCTAGTCTCTCCCCGTTTCAGCGAGAATGCTTGGAGCCCTTGAGTCGCGATAAACCTGTCGTAGAAGTAAAGCCCTATGTCCAGAGACTCGAATCTCACGTCAATTTTCCTATTTGGGTTGGAAAAGTTTGCAAGGAAGGTAAAGTCGCCGTTAAGGTTCTCCGGCGAATCGATGTAGATGCTGTTGAGATTTGCCTTTGTGGTGTCAAAAATGGGGTGTGTCGGCTTGACGACAAGGAATATGACCAGAGTGGCAATTCCGGCGAGAATGAGGAGGAGGCTAAAAATAACACATAGGATTGCACCACACCAGATGATTGGGTTGGTCCTGCGAGGCGGCCGGAGTAGTTTTCCGTTTCTTGGGTCACCGGAAATTCCGTCCGGTGGACGAGGTTGTTGATCCATGGTTAGCTTTGATACCACAATTTGATTGAGATGGGTGGGCTTGTTTTGCATTTTGGGTGGGGGAGGGAGGGGGAGCATTAATCCTCTTGGATGCCACCTCTCTCAAACAAGGTAATGATGGAGGGGAGGGGGAAGGACTAAGGAAGGAAGAGGGTGCTCTCTTTTGTTTTTAGAGATGAAAATGGAGAGAGATGAGAAAGGGGATTAAGACTTAAGTCTTAAGAGAGTAATTATTACAATTGAATTGAAGGGAAAAAAAGAAACTTTTGAATTTTGGTTGAGAGTGGGAGAGAAAGTGAAGTGGACCAGGACCAGCATGTTATTTATATGCATGGAGGATTGAGCAAGGCAAAAGCAAAGTGGTGGCTTTTTAAGTATTAACTTTTAAGTGGGAATGGCGGGCTATTTGGTTGCTTTAACTGTTTTGCTTTTGGCGTTAAGCTATATTGTTTAGGTAATACCGTAATAGCACTAAAGAATAAAGGCCTAGTGCGCCAATGCCGGGTGCTTTTAATATTCTAAATAGCACTTGTTTTGGATTCCAATGCTTGTGAAAGGCAAAGCATGTATTCAAAGAAAATTCTAATGTTGCTTAAGTTTGGGCTGCTTGGGAAGCCCACAATCTTGCCCTTAACTTTAATAATAAAATCATCATCATTATCTTATCGACGGTTTAAAGAACCAAGTGGACCCACTATGGAGATTAAGAATGATCATCGAAGGTTGCAGGTCTTTGATCAAGAGGCTTAATGATGAGGTCATTTACTGTCACACTTATCAAAAATAGGGTTGCAAGTCTAGTCGGGTTAGGTTGGGTTGAAGCCAACCCTACCTCAACCCTACGTTCTAAACCCCAACCCTAATCCTAACCCTAACCCTAACCCAACCCGACCTACCTAACCCTAACTAAATTCCTTCAACCTTAACCCAATCCAACCCAAAGTCAAGTCGGGCCTGACCCAACCTTCTTCCCATCCCTTAAAATCTCGTACAAACTTCTTAATCTTAGATTTTAACTCAACTTTCTTACATATATTAATCATATATTTTATTAGTATTTATTTATTGATATTTTTATTGGTTCTCTAAATACAAAATTTAGAAAAAAAAGTGTTTGAAATGACTGTAGTTTATTATGAGTTATGACTTATAATAGATTTTTTATGGGCAACAAGCTATGGGTGGCAAACAACAGAGAGGAGATAAAGAATAAAATATTCAAAAAACATAAAATATGTTATTAAGGTTTTAGTATTTTCAATTAGGATTAACTGAAGTGATTATCTTAAAAGAAATAAATGATAGTATGTGGTGGGGGCTATACAACTATCATGCATCTAAACAAATCAATGTATGATATATTATATATAGCATATATTTATATATTATATGTACTATAGAGTTGGGTTCAAGTTGGGTTGGGTTGCCTGAGGGGTCAACCCTAACGCAACCTGAAGTAAAGTTAGGTTCATAAATTTTAACCCTAACCCTAACCTGAACATCAACCTAACCCAACCCAACCTCACCTTTTCGGGTTGGGTTTGGGCCAACCCGGCCCAAGTTGCAGCCTTAGTTGAGAAGGTAATCGTGTAGCTTATTGACTTGCTAAGTCTGTCCATTCCAGCATTGTATCTTTTCTCTTTCTTCCTAGTTCTGTAAGATTTATTTCTTGTTCTAATATTTGGGTACATGCTACCCCCATCTTGTGTATAGGGGTGTAAATGGATTGAATTTGAAATGAATAAGGCAATATCCAAATTCTCATCCGATTAGAAAATCCGATATCCGACGGATATTGAAAATTAATATTCAAATTCGATTCGATTCGAATTTGACCAATTAATTATTTTAGGTAATTAATAAATATATAAAATAAATATTTTATTTATTTAAAGTATATAATATATAAATTATTTATATAATTCAATTAATATATAAATTATATAAAACATTTAAATATTTTATATTTTATATAGAAGAACTAAATAATTGGCCAAATTCACATATTTATTAAATCGAATAAGGTCSTACCCAAATTCCAATCCAATCAACTATTCAAATGAATAGGATATTTGAATTATCTGAATTCGATTCAATTATATTAAATCTCGAATTTGAAATCGGATTTTTGATTATCGTTCAAACCCCTACTTTTCCTCATCTTGGTTAATYGAAAAAAAATTCTGAATATTAGTGTGATGTTGTGGCTCATTTGGTAAGTCTGCTGGTTTGTTTTTGATGCGTCGCAATCTGGCTGCTCCTAGCTGGAGGTGACTTGGCTTTCAGTAGACAACGGATGTGGAGAATCTGCAAAGAAAGAATCAGAGAACCCGGGGGTGCTTACCCGGCAAGGTCGCTCTGATGCTTAAGTCAGTATGTGCGAGCTGAGAGTAATTAGAGAGCAAGAGAGCTAGTAAGCAGTAATTGCGTACCTTGGGCCCCGGGAGGGAGGCCTTTATATAATGGAGTCCTCGCGGGCTTCACAGAGTAGTTCCGAGATCAATGCCATGATAGAATCTGATTTCGTGTTATCTGGAAATAACATTATCAGTTGATAAGGCTAATCACTTCCGCCCGAATCGGGCAGGGAGATAATGCTTAGTTACAAGGCGTGATCCCGCAGAATTCGGGAACCATTGGAGTGACTTTCGGGATTATATCGAGGGCAGATCGGTATACCCGAGCTGGTTTCTACCTTGAACTGAATTATGTACTGACGCCGCAACCTGGTACCGAGGTGCTATTAGCTCGGGGTGATTTCAGCTCGAAGAACCCCTAATTCGGGGCAGTGGAGTATCACTTTGTAGTGAACTGACTATACCGAATTATCACCTATGTCAAGTCATGTCCACATGTCCCCTTATTATGAGATCGGGGAAGCTGACCCTCCATCAGTTTTCAGTGGAGATGCGAATTTGATTCCTATCATCGAATTCGAAGGAGAGAGTTATTAGTTTGATGCTTTATTATTCCTAAAAAAAAGAATAAAAGAAAAGATTTACAGCCCCTGTAAGGGATTAGTCATACGATTAAATACCAAAAAAAGAAAGAAAGTTCTGAAAATGATAATTAAGCCGTTGGGTGGTGAATGGTGATGCAGCTGGACAAATGTAAATACCACGTGTTTCACTTCAAAGAATAATTCGGTCAATCCATCACACCTTAGAGGGTAATCTGGTAATTTTATTGAACAACTTGGGTGTGATATGTATGATACACGTTGGCTGACCTAATTGGGCCATTAAGGCTCGCGTGCTTAATGCAGGTTAACGGCCAAACAGGCAAACACACATACACAACATGCCCACTAATGGCGGAAGAAGCAGTCTTTTGCTTTCTTGAGATTCATCCACTAAGCTGTGTTTGGTTTGAATGAAGAAGTACGTAAGGGTAGGAACTTTGTAAAGGTTTTTCTGTTTAGTTTGAAGGAAAAGATTCAACCCATCCCTTTGCTTTGCTAACTTGATCCTTAGGCTGTGTTTGGTTTGAAGGAAAAGATAAGGAAAAAAAGAGAAAGACAGAAAAAATCAATATAAGGGTCCTAAGATTTCCCTACCTTTTCTTTAYTTTCCTTACATTTTCCTTCAAACCAAACATAGCTTTAGAGTTTCTCTGCCCAATGTGACTGCAGATGACCTCTTCGTGGCTTGTGACCCTCGGTGCATTTTGGGATTTCTCCCTGCCTACGGAAATTGAGCAGCAGAATATGAATAATCAGATTCGACCATGCTTTAATTTTGTGTCTGATAAGCAGCCCCGATAGTTTTACTACTATATTTTGATGATACTAATTTGGATGGTTTTGATGGATAAATATTGCTCTGTTCACCGTGTCTTTTCATGCAGTTTGTTGGTTATTTATAAGTTAGCAGATTATAATTTGGTTTTTCCTGTTTGGTTTGCAGTAGATCTGCTGCCAAAAGCTGATGTGCCAAAAAGATACAAAAAGTCTAAAACRGGCGATGGTTTGACCGGTTTCTGGGTCGATGTGTCAAAAGCTATTCTGTTCACCGGTTTCTGGGTCGATGGTTTGACCATCCAATTCGAATGGATGATCTATTCTGACAAAAAATTAAAAAAAATAAAAAAATAATTAAAAGTAAAACACGGCCCTAGGGACCAGGTTTTTGGGGTAAAACGGAACCAGTTGCTTAGACTATCCCGGGCCAAACGGTCTGACCATCTAAGTCAACGACAGTTCGAAAATCATGAGATACATTAAAATATTAAGAAATCATATGAATAATTACAATAATGTTATTGTCATTTCCCTATATACAAAATGTATACAACACCCCGCCCAAGAAACACATGATATCACACGGATGGCAAGTAAATGGAATCTATGGTGACAACATGGAAAGTTTGTAGTGAACTAGGATGGATGAGTTACGATGAAAGATCCTCCCGAATCCAAGTTCCAACACTTTGATCAAGAGGAAACGAAACAATAGAAGGAATGTGGGCAACCAATCTATAATCTTCCCCTTATCATATAAATGGAGCTCTTAGCTTTGAGGTCATTTAGGTATATAATACCTGGTGGCATTCTCTTCAACTTCATACATTTCCTCATTATTAGCGTCTGAAGGTTTTGCATTGTAACAACTTCCGATCTTATGGTATGCATCTTATCTAGTTGATCAAGTTCTAGTATCTTAATAAGACTGAAATGTTCCTTCCAGAAAAGCTAATTGATCTCCGGTGTAAGCATCGAGTAATTGGAGTTCTAGCAGATGAGGCAATTTCCCAAATGCAATAAGTGGGTTGTCTCTTACTCTTGACCACTTCAGACGTATATATCCTAACCAAGTCTACGTAAGTTTTGAAGCTTTCCGGTGGTTTTGGGAAAACACTTTTATAAAAGCACTTCTATGAAAAGTACTTTTATGAAAGTACTTTTATAAAATCATTTTTATGAAAGTATTTTTATAAATGCATTTTTATGGAAGTACTTTATAAAAAATTTTTATGAAAGTACTTTTATAAAAGTACATTTA